GCAGCCTGATCGCCCCCTAACTGCCCTCCCCTGCCAGCCTGATCGCCCCAACTTCCCTCCCATGCTGGCCTGATCACCCCCTAACTGCCTGCTCCCCTGCTGGCCTGAGCGACCCTAACCACCTCTGCTTCAGCCCCTGCCACCATGGCTTTGTCCGGAAGAAAGTCGGATGTCCAGAAGATATCTAGTTGACCCGGTCTAATTAGCATATTACCTTTTTATTAGTATAGATATTCTAAATCAATCAAATATAACACATTTTGACTGGTCCCATTTTCAAACAAAAAAAGGTAGTAATGGCAGTTTAAAAATAAGAATTCAGCTTATATTAAAAAATTATTAAAGCTTTGGATATGAGTATAAACTTGGAATAACTAAACAATATTTTGAGGAGAATGAATAAAAAGGAATTTAACATGGTATGATCTAGTTTCTAAACTACATGTACTTTTTTTTTTTTTTAGTTAAACAGTATATCATAAGAACAAGTGGAAGTATTCTGGATCTAAGAGACAAGTTTGATGATGCTCTGCAAGTAAACACTACTGATCTGCTACCAAATGAGGCCAACTCCAAGGAAACCTTTACATTTAAACCAGGAAATATCTCAGAAGAAAATGCAACCCACATATTCATTGCCATTCGAAGTGTGGATAATAGCAATTTGAGATCAAAAGTATCCAACATTGCACAAGCAGCTTTGTTTATTCCTCAAGGAGATCCTGATGAAATACATCCAAATCCTAATCCTGGAATTAGCATTTCTTCTTTGGTGCTGTTAGTGGTTGGATGCATGGTCCTTGTTAGTATTATTTTAAGTGTCACTATTTGTATCTTAAACAAGAAAAACAATCCAAACCAACCTAGAACAGCGTTTTAAAAACACATCAACACTTGTATGCATCCATATAAGCCTAACCAATGGACATAAGACACTGGGGAATAGGGGAGGCTAGGGGACTGTCTAGGGCGGGGAAAAAAATGGACACATATGTAATACCCTTTGTAATAAAAAATAAAATTTGAAAAAAAAACAACAAAAGTGAAGCATATTTCTTAATTTTTAAATTCATCTTGTGTGATCATGAACTCCTAAAAATAACTTCAGAAGTTCTAGAAGGGATACTTAAGTATAAACACTCAGGAGTATTTGAAAAATTGTAAGTCACTGCTAAAGTTATTAACTTTGTTTACTCATTATTTTGTTTATCAGAAAACGTGATGAATAATAACATTTTTTACATTCATGCCAGGTTGTTTGTTATTTGATACAACAGCTGTCTAGAATAATACTTCAAACTTCATGAAAAAGTTAAAATTGTCTATGTGAATAGTCAAATACAAGTGTAAGAAAGCAAATAAACTATATTTGAGTAAAAATGAATTTAGTCTTGGAAGTTTTAAGTGTAAATTGATGTTATTGTATTTGCCCAAAGTTTCCAATTATATTCTACTATATACAATATAGGTATAATGGCATGTTTATTGCCATTCACTGACATGAAGGATATTAGCAAAAAAATCAGTTACTACATGTCAAACCATAGTCTCCCATATTTTAGTTTAATATAATCATATGTAGTTCAAATAAAGAAAGAAAACTAAATTTTGAAAAATATCTAATTATCACTGCATCATAGCCTAAGATTCAAAACCATAGTAATGAGTAAGATCAATTAAAGAGAGAAAGTAGGTTGGGATGAGTAGGTTCATATGGTAGGCAATGGCCAACCCTGCCAGAGATCCTAAAGATGCAAACAAAATGAAACATAGAGCATATAACCATGGTCCTATCATGGTACTGAAAGAATTTTCATCCAGGGAGTAGGTGGACTTATGAGTCCAAGTTTACAAGCATATGGTTACCTTGTTCCTCCAAATGGTGGCTTTTTCACTTTGCAAAGAGTTTGCCACCAGAACAGGCAAGAAGATCAGCAGCATCACTTGTATCCTTGTCTACTGTAGCCTTGGCAGGAATTATTTATAGGTTTGGAAGTAAAGCAAAATGAAAGCCATATAAACTGAGACCTGGGGTCACTTTTAACAATCTTTAAACATAGGACAAACTTTTTGACCTGACATAATTAATTTGGTATAATTAGCAGGGCTGACAGAAAGGGCCTTGTGGTTTAAATTGAAGGTAGTAAAGCAAAGGAAGAGGAAATAAGTGGGAGATCTCTAATTACTGGACAGTTTGAATTACTCTCAAAGCAATCTTTGGAAAAGAAGCTGTGCAGTAGGGCACTGGGACACAGTGCTGATGAAGCAGAAGGTCTATTAGCACTTAATTCCTTTAGTGGGCTGGCACCTACTCAGCCAGTGCTAAGGGTTATGGATGTGCAGGTGAACCTGAAGAAAATGTAGAAAACGGGTAAGCGTAGGACACCTGGACCTTTACTGAGAGGGAACTAAAAGCCTGAAATTTTGTGTTGGAAACAGAAATAATGCACAACAGCTAGACTTTCCTTGTGTGCTTCCCACCCACCCACCCCACAGCTCTAGCAAAGCCTTCCAGCCTGGTTATTATTACCCTCTCATATGCTCTGGTGCAATAACTATACTCTGGTGACTCTCTGTAGTGGGCTCTCCCCTTCCAGGTCAGGCGTTGGTTTAGATCTATTTCCAGGACTGCATCCAGTAGCTAATTGTGAATTAGTAAGATTCAGAAAAATAACAATGACTATCATTGTTGTAGCCCCTGTTCAACTAAGACTCCACATTCAAAAACCAATAAGACTTTTAAGACAGCAACAGCAAAGTATTAAACCCAGTACAGGTACCTTCTAAGCACAGGATTCTGGACAAATGCATGGATCATACCCAATAAGCCACCCTCTCTCACTATAGCACAGGATCTCATTGCTAGGATGTGAGGTACATTTCAATTCCAGAAAAACATCTTGCCACCACCCTACACTTCTAATTTCTACAGTCACATGGATGATACATGTTCATCCTTCAGTTCTTAGAAGAGGTGTCACTCTTCTGGGAAGCTTACTTAACTCCTCCAGTCCCCCTCTGACCACGTTAAATTCCTTTCACAATGCTGCCGGTGGAAATGGGATCCTTTTATGGGATTGCTAAAAAAGCATTTCAGAAGACTCACACATGGGAGGTTGAGGTTTCATGGTAAGATTCATTATAAAAGCTAAACCAAAGGACTACCCCTGGGTTCCCAGTGTCTCATCTCTGTCCCCCCATGGACAAAGTTCATCCCTGTCTTCATCAGGCCCAGAAATAGGGCCAGTGTACAGACATTTTACAGCCAAAATAAATCCAAGCTTACATTGTCAATTAACATTTGACAAAGGAAACAAGAACATACAATGGAATAAAGACAGTCTAGTCAATAAACAGTATTGGGAAAACTTGACAAATACATGTAAAAATAAACTATACCACCTTCTTACCCTTTTATACAAGAATAAACTGAAAATGGATTAAAGACTTAACTACATTATTAATAGAGATATAACTGGAAAAGGCAGACATGCTCATGAAGGTTGATGGAAAAGAGCATTGAATACACCACTTTATTGTATACAGTGTTTTGTGTGCTTATATCAGGCAGAAGTAACCCAATCTAAGGGTCATAGAAAGTCTCTCTGAGAATGTAAAATTTTATCTAAAGCTTAAGGGATGAGTAGAAAATCACCAAGAGGTTAGAAAGTAGTCTCCCAGGCAAAGGAAATAGTATGTGCAAAATATTTGGGAGAAAAGCTTCAGGCCATTGAGAAACAAAAAGACTAGTCTGATCAGAGTGGAAGATAAGGCTAAAGAATTAGTATGTGGGTTTTAGTGGGGTGGGGACCTTGCAAGCCTCACTAAGGATTCTGAACTTTATCACAAAGTGATACAATCATAACTTGTTTCCAAAAGCTCACTAGGTGGTTTAACATATCATTAAAAGCGTCTGTGGGGACACAGAAATGGGAAAGATCAACCGATTTGGTAGCCTTCCCAGAAAAGAAACATTTGAGTTGAGCATTGAAACATTTGAGTTGAGCTTTGAAACATTCATGAGATTCTACCAGGCAGCAAAAGAGAAAGGGCTTTGCAAAAAGAGGGAACAATGACGAAGGCACCAGCATATAAACAGAGCTGGGCATGCTGGGGAACCGGAAGCAACTATACAGTACTATGGTAGAAAGTGGAGAGAGGACAGTGGAAAATAAACCTAACAGGCACATCCATAACATTTTTAGGTATAAATGGTACAATATGGAACAAATACCATATGTTTAAATATTTAAAAGTTAAAATCATGCTAACAAATTTTATGAAATTTGTTCTCCCTACACACTGTCATATTCAAAAGATGGTGAGTGAGAGTCTGTATAGTGTGGGTAAATATGGTAAATTTACTTTCATATAGGCCTTTATTTACACTTAACAGTCTAAATATTATTATATCTTAATGGGAGACTTGCCAAGTCATACAGTTCTAACGCAAAAGTTCATCAACTTTATGACTAAGAAAATTACATAATTCTCGTCAGATCACAATGATTAAGAGTCACCTACCAGGTTCTACAGCTAGTTTTTTTTTGTTGTTGGTCGTTTGTTTTTCAAGTAATTCCAGTAATCACTGCATATCTGACATGAATAACTGGATACAGATGTGAAATACTGAAAAGTTTGTGAAACTGTTTATTAAATGTAAAAATAAAAACTGCTCTTGAGTGAGGTTAGCCCCACTAGAATTTTATAGAGTCTTGCAAGATATCTAAACAAATTATATACCATGAAAATCCAATTATTTCATTTTTTTATAACAAAGTCTAACAATATAATGGTTTCTTTCGTCACTTCTGTTGATTCTTCCTCAAATTCTCTCATATCTACCTTTTCTTTTCTTTTTTGATTACACTAGTTCATTTACACCTCACTGATTACAATAGACTCATATCTGATGTTTCTGTTGCCTAATACTCCACGTCTATATTGAAGCTCATATATCTTTCCTGAAACATAATTTTTATCATGTCACATCTCTGCTGAAAATCAGCAAGCTTCCCCTTTCCATATGATAAAATTCAAACTCCTCACTAAATGTCCATCTTATCTACCTCCTTTCCCTCCTTGTACTATTTTCATAGCACAAAATTAGGTATCCATCTTTCAAGCCTGTATTTCAGTCATATCTTCTTACCTTATCCCTGAGTCTAAATTCATCTCTCTCCCTTCTTTGAATACTATCTGAATCACACATTTTAGCATTTAAATATACAACATATGGAGGTGATATGTACATACAGTAGATTAGAATTGAGAAAGTTCTATGTACAAAAAGTATAAAAGAACTAAATTGCAGAGAGAAACACTTCTTGCTTCAGGCAGAGGGACTGTGCTGAGGAAAGGCAAATCCACCAGAGCCTTTTTATTTTTTTAAATATATGTTATTGATTTTTTACAGAGAGTAAGAGAGAGAGAGAGAGAGTTAGAAACATTGGATGAGAGAGAAACATCAATCAGCTGCCTCCTGCACGACCCCTACTGGAGATGTGCCAGCAACAAAGGTACATGCCCTTGACTGGAATCGAACCTGGGTCCCTTCAGTCCGCAGGCCGACACTCTATCCACTGAGCCAACCTGGTCAGGGCAACCACCAAAGTGTGTGTCATAGTGACCAGTGATTCCCAGTCATTGTGCTGTTAGGGTCAATTTGCATGTTACCCTTTCTATATATAGGATAGAGCCCTGGTGCATAGTGGAGGCTGGCTGGTTTTCCCTTAAAGGTGGGGGTCCCACTGGGGTGCCTGGCCAGCCTGGGTGATGGGCTGATGTGTGTTTGCAGGCTAGTCACACCCCCTTCAGGGTGGGGGTCCCCACTGGGGTGCCTGGTCAGCCTGGGTGAGGGGCTGATGGCTGTTTGCAGGC